AACAAAATCAGCATCTACATACCTTTTTTCATTGGATCCGTCTCCAGCAATTGAAAACAATGTCATCGTAGGTGATGCTGGCAAAGCAGCATTATCCATATCTCCCGAACTCCACTAAATTGTATTCTTCAAATCTGACCATTTATAAGCTTCTAAAGGCATTGTACCAAACCGAAAGCCCACCACGGTACTGAACTTGTACTGATTGACTCTTCCAAATTCTGTACGACCCTGTAAGATGTATAAGATACGTTGTTTCTCATAATCACGACATCTTTGGAAACAGTTTCATATGTAGCAAACAAGTCTTTATTATGACACATATGAAACACACATGTTGAATCAAGAATCCAATCATCTTCCGATTTAGACTCAATGTCAGAAATAGTTGAGAGTTCTCCATCACTTACAACGTTCTCCACGAGGTCTGCTTCGCCTGAAGTATCTGAATATCTACTTGCAGCCATCCTTTCTTTATTCAGCAATTTGTAGCAATCCTTCTTTAAATGCCCCTTCTTCTTGCAGTAGTTACAAATTTGATTACTGAACTTAGATTTCGATCTGCCCCTTCTAGAACCACCACGATCAACCAGGCCTTTTCCATCTATAGCCTCAGAAACCAAATGCTTCATCTTCTCTTTTGAATACAAAGCATCATACACTTCCTCTATGGTGAAAGTATCATGACTATACAAGATCGTGTCTCTCAACGAAGAAAACGAAGTGGGCAATAAACACAATAAGATCAAGGGCAAATCTTCTTCATCATACTCTACTTCCAAAGTTTCCAAATCAGCGACGATCTCCTTAAATACATTAAGGTGATCTTCCAATGATCCTCCTTCTGCCATTCGATGAGAGTATAAACGCTGCTTGATGTTCAACTTGCTTGTCAAACTTTTGGTCATGCACAATTGCTCCACCCTCAACCATAAAGCAGCTGTTGAATTCTCTTCAAAACGTCATGAAGAATAGTATTTGATAGATGAAAATGAATGTGAGAAACTGTCTTTTTATCCTTCCGTAATTTCTCATTCGCGGTCAAAGTTGTGGGTATCTTGTCAATTCCCAGCAATGCAACACCCAAATCCAGTTTTGCGAGTACTGCACACATCTTAACCTACTATAGTGAAAATCTAGTGCTCCGATCCAAAAGTGGAATGTCATACTTTAGGAAGCCACCACGAATAAAAACCTCGAACAAATCAAATATTGCGCTCTTGTGGAACTGCTGAACCTAGCGTTATGATACCAATTGTTGTAAAACAAACAAGATACCAGAATATCTCTGATACCAATTGTTGTAAAACAAACCACCGAATTGAGATATTGAAGTTATATGGCAAATAATGATGAAATATATGATCAAGTAAAAGAATAATAAATATAAGAATATGGCAGAAGAATTAAGAGATTTTATTGACTCAAGAATAATGGATAAGAGAGAAAAATTATAATAGATCCTATAATTCTAATAATCTATTTTCCTATACCATAAAATTGTATAGAATAGCCTAATATTTATAGAGAACATGTAGAGGATGTCCAAACTCTCATAGTAGAGTTGTTGATGAAGTATGATACCAAAAAATCGAGTCCAAAACAAATTACAACTTTCAATGGGCTTCCAAATTAAAACTTCAACATGACATAGGACGCTAATAGCATTCCAAACTGAATTCTTCTTGATGTACACTTCAATTAGAATTCTTAAATTTCTTTAACAAGGAATTCGAGTCACACACAAATTCTAACAAAAACATCCGGTATTCATTCAAATGTCACCACATTTTAGCTTGTGAGATCACAAATTCTAACAAAATATATTGACAGTTAATTCCTTGGCAAATTTTAGAAAATTCTCAAAGTTTTAGGAGATGGTGTCATGGTGATGCTCCTTTTGATATTGACACTCGATGATCTGTAATCATATGCTTTCAAGAAAAGGAATATAATTAGTAGCATTTAGAGCAATAATGTGTTGGTAATGCATAAATTAACTCGACCATTATGTTAGTCATGCGAACATATTAACTTCACGGGAAAGCGCAAATAACTTTTGTTCTGCGTACACCTATGACATTCCTTCATAATATAATACACATTTCGTGCTTAATAAACCACAAGACTAAATGTTGAGTTCTCACACGTTAGGGGTGACAATGGGATGGGTATCGAACAGGGTCGACCATTCCCATCCCCCGTCCCCATAAGGTATTTTTGTTACCTTGTCTACCCCCATACTCGGTTAAAGCGGAACAGGGCAGGGCAGGTCCCCTATTTCCTATTTACTTTACCTTATTTTTATTTTTTATATCTTTAGTTAGTGAATATTATTTTTTTTTCTAATTTGTATGTTCTCTTTAAAAATAATAATAAATCGCTTCTTTTTATTTAATTAAAAAATTAAATTTTAAATTACATTTAAATAGGGCGAAGACCATGTTTCTCGTACATGTCTCGTATCCGCTGTGGGGCAACAACTCCTGTCCTGTCCCTGCCCCATTTACTTGATTAGGCAAGTAATTCTCACCCCTTTTGGGACGGGGCCAACATGTATCGGGTTGAATAGATTTTTTTGTTATCCCTATCACAAGTCCTCGTACTCTGAAGATGGTAACATGTGGATAAGCACGTGTCTTAAAGAGGAGGCTTTACATAGTTGTGCTACAATAAAAAAAAAAAGAAGTCTAATCTATATATATTACACCATTATGCTCGTTCTACAATCAAGGTGTACAGTAAGGTTGACACTGTGTGATGTGTCAGAATTTGTGACATTTGTTGTTTTAAGTGTTATTAAAATTAATGTATAAAAAGTTGTCACGTCACAACAATGTCAAACTTAATATTAAACTTGATGTAAATGTAGCAAGATTGATTTTACACACACATACACAAATGAATAATGCCACTTTGTCAGAAAGTAGATAACATATAGAGTGACATAATAGGTGTAGACGAGATGTGTTTGATGAAAAACTGACTGTGTTCAATGGTAGGTTGTCATATGACATTATGTTAAAGATTATGTCAATTATTATGTCTATGTGGCATCATTATACACAAATCTCGTGAGAAGAAATTTTCTAGGAAGGACAATCGAAGATAATGAAATAAGGCTTAAGTTTCTAAAATTATGTGAACTTTTTCTTTTTTGGTCAAAAGTTCAGTATACCCTCGTCCCTTCTTGTTCGCCAACCCCACCGCATTGTATTCGTAGCTTTAAGGTTCCTTCCTATTCCTCAAAATCACCATTGTGACCCTTGGAATTTGGAATTAACAAAAAATGCTATAGTGTAAAACTTGACAAACAAACACACGAATCTTGCATTAGGTTTGAGAAAGGCTACAGACGTCAGCAGCAATATAGATTTTTTTGCTCGGGCTTGAATTGTTGCAATTGAAGTATAATACTAAACCCGTTTGGTGGGGATTGAAATTAGATATAAGTGTTAAATATTCTTGAAAGAGTAATCATATTTATTATCACGATGATAGAACAACGGTAAAGTGTCAATCCATGATCTCTCATATTTCTCTCTCTCCGCTCTCTCATAAAAATTGAAATGCTCAATTCCATTATTTCACAAGGACTACCACATCATCGATGTTCCATCATCATAATGATAAATAGCAGAGATATAAGTGTTGAATATTCTTGAAATCATCATTAAATGCTGGCTCAAAGCATCAAAATACGACACAACAATGAGAAAACATTTTAATATTGCCAAGTTCTCCCAAGTTATATTCATCAATAACCTGATTGGGCAAATATATCCAACAATTAAAATCACCATGTACTATCTTAGGAATAGTTGTTTCAACGACCAAAAGTCATCCATATTTCACCATCGTAGAGGCCCGCGTGCATACGAGGACATGTCACCAAAAAGATGGTGCCTAAAATGGTATACTTTGTTTTATGGAGTTAATGGGATTATAGAATAAGAGAGAACTAAGACCGAATCCAAGATTCTGACTTTTCAGTTATTAAGGATGGGAGACGCAATATAGGATTACAAAGAAGTCTCCCATTTTATTGCATAGAAATTTTATTATATTGATTATTATTTTTTTTTAGTTTCATTCCCTTATCGAAAATCGTGAATCTTCCTCTAAACGTGATCTAAAGTGAAAGATAACAATTCTCAAACAAGGGTTTATTTAGATTTTGATGGATTCTTGAGGACTATCATTTTATCGCCTCGCGTCAAATCTCAAAATATTTTCAAAGTTTAACACGGTGCTTGTCCAATACTACCCATAAATCCTACTATTCATTTTTTAATCTTATCATCTCCAATAAGCCTTTGTTTGGTATGGATTAAAATCATATTTTTAGTAGATTTTGATAGAAATTGATGACATGTGTTGTTGAAAAGTTGTTGGTCTCGTGCAATGTGTTGTTAAAATTAACTGTCGACTTTGACTTGGATTAAAATCTTGATTTTAATTTCTACCAAACAAGGGTAAGTCTACCAATTCATCGGAACTTTAGATTAATTCACTATTGAGAAGAAGAAGTTGAACCTTAAACTTTACTACTGAGAAGTAAGGTTGAAACAAAACTCTTGAGAAGAGAATTTGATCCTGAACTACATTCTTGAGAAAAGAGATTCTAGTGTAATAGAATCCTTCTTCTAATGAAAAATTTAAATTATGGATCGATAATAAATGATGGACTAGTGATAATGAAATGAATAAGTAAATGTATATTTGATCAAATTGTTCGTAATTTAAGCACCTCCCAAACAAAAGCTAAAATCTACTTTTGCTTTTTTTTTCTCTTTAATTTTTGAGACTAGCGTGTGGGCTAATAATAATTCTATGATTTGTGGTTATATTGTCACCATAATTTTTATTTGATACATTAAATTTTATTTGCAATTAAGTTCCTCAATCTTTATTCATTGTAACAATATTTCTTAACTTTTTCTCGTCGAATTTATATCTTTAACCTTCCATTAATTAATATGTCTCGTCCCTTGATGATGATATATATCAAAATATATTATTTCCATGATTTGAAATGAGAAAAAAATATTTTTTCATAATTTAATTAATTTATTTATTTATTAAAAATATGATGAGAAAATAAGTTGTTTTACAACATATCAACAGACTTTGGACATAAAATTGTTATCAAATACAAAATGTGTTAACTAATGAAAAGTTTGAGAATAAGAATGCCATGAATAATCGTTGAGGACATAAATGCTATAATGAGCAAATTAAGAACTTTAAGTGCAATTAAAATGTGATGCAAGAAATAAAAATTGTGATGTGAATGTAACTACCCTTCTATCATTTTAGTTACATCAATTGATATTAAATGGACTATATAACCCTTTCTTCAACTATAAATTAATTTTTTATTCTCTTTCAACTCATGATTTTTCCATAAAATTAATAACTAATTAAAAGTGAAATCTTAACAAAAAATGATAATGGCTATTTTAGGGAGTTCACTACTCCCTTCGTCCCATAAAAATATATTTATTTCTATTCTTACACTGATTAAGAAAATGTAATTAATATAGTTGAAAATATAAATTTTTCTTACATTTTTACTAATTTACCCATACAATAAATAATGATTTAAATAAAATTAGCTTATATTTGTTGATAACAATGTTCATTAAATAGGAATATATTAGAAAATTAAAAAATATCAATACTTTTGGCCTATAACTAGTAGCAAGCACGTGCGTTGCACGCCTTATTATCGAATAAATGATATGCGTAATATTTTGTAAGTACTAATACTATTTTTTAAAGAGTTGAGGCAATTAATATTGTTAAAGGATAAATTAAAATTGTAAAAAAAAAATACCTATATGAATAA